CACACACACACACACACATACACACATATATACATGTATATATATAAATATATATGTAAATATATATATAAATATATATATATATATATATATATATATATATATATATATATGTAAATATCTATACATATATACATTTATATACATATATATACATATATACATATATATATATATATATATATATATATATATATATATATATATATATATATATATATATATATACACACACACACATGTGTATATATATATATATGTATATATATATATATATATATATATATATATATATATATATATACATATATATATATATATATATATATATATATATATATATATATATATATATACATATATATATATATATATACATATATATACATATATATATATATATATATATATATATATATATATATATATATATATATATATAAATAAGTGCACATATATATGTACACACACACACACACACACACACACACACACACACACACACACGCGTGGTACACACGCACACACACACATAGATGTATATATATATATATATACACATCTGTGTGTGTGTGTATACGTGCGTATGTGTGCGTGTGTGAGTTTGTGTGTGTATATATATATATATATATATATATATATATATATATATATATATATATATATATATATATATATACATGTATATATATATATATATATATATATATATATATATATATATATATATATATATATATATATACATGTATATATATATATATATATATATATATATATATATATATATATATATATATATATATATATATATATATATATATATATATATATATAAAGGCACATAAACACGCTCACCATCTTCTGTAAAACGTGGTGTTGCAACAATCAGCCCTTGGAGTAGACCAAAAAAGGCGACAAATTCACGCTGCAGCCACAAACAACAGGAAAAGACACAATAAGACCAGCGAAAAATACCGTGAACTTTTGGCTCGAATCGTCAGTCAAGGCTCTCGAAGTTTTTCCTTTGGTGCATAACTACTTCGCCTGCGCCCCTGGCGGCTCCGAGCGGCATGATTTGCCTCCTAATGACACGGCCGCCGAGACTCTCGGACGGCGGCACTTTGCTCGAAGGCGAAATAAGGTCAAGAAGAGCGCTCGCCCGACCTTGGAACTTGATCTCCTTCGCACGCTGTACGTCGGCGCGATGTCCATTTTTTCGTTGCTTGACATCATCGCGCCTTCTGCGGCTGTTGCAATCTCAAGAGTCCTTTCTCCTTTCTTATCTTTAACCTCTTTTGCGATGTAACAATAACAAAACATCGTCTGATAATACGCTGTTCTGGATGTTGCATCATCGCCCCTTGGCGAACGCGCTCTGGCCTCCGACCTCACGGGTCACGGAGTGCGCCTGGGTGGCGTAAGGCCGACCACGACCTCGTCATTAATCATGCTAAGGACCCCAGGTCACGCCGCCCACAGGTGGTGTAACGCTGGAAAACAGAGCGTTCGTGTCACTGGCTCATCTCGTCGACCTGGGCTCTCATCTTCCCGGACGTGACGTCGCGGCCGAGGAGACACGAGGCTGGAGGAGAATGCGCCCTTTGGCGTGACGGATGAACGTGACACAGGCGTGGCATCGCAGAGTAGTGGGCCCGCCGGGGCCCCGAGTCGGAGGGCGGCCTCGCATTTCCATATTGCACGTTTGTCATCTCGGTAATGACTCACTGCTGTCGTGAACTGTGGCTTTAAGGATCACATTAAGAGGCCCGTACGTGAATCATGCTGAGCAGTAAGTGCGTGGAATTACTGGTAGATCGGGTGATGATGTGAAGGCTAATAATGATGGGGACTGATGATCATCAAAGAGTTATTGATGGTAATATAATTATGGTAAGGATGGACGCGAACTCCCAGTATAAAATGTAGAAGCTGACAGTAGCTAGAACTGCAACAACAACAATAACAGCAATAATATCACAGGTCAAATTAATGCCAATATAACTGATGAATAAACAAATAAAGGATGAAGCTGCGATTTGTAGCCGATATTTTGTGATCATTAATTCCATCAGAAGAACCACAACGGCAATAAATTGCTGGGTAAAATATATACAATAATCTATTCTTTTGCAATAGAAAATAGAAGGTAATATTACACGTGATTTGCAGCGATCCATCAAAATCATAGCTATGCAATTTTCCGAAACCTTCCGTCGATTGAAAATAAATATCAACTGAATATAACAACTTTCACCCAGTTATCCAGTCATAACGGAGGAACGGAAGACGAGGTAGTCGTGTTTGTGTTGGAGCGATCACGTGAGCAAACAACGGCAAAGCAAACCAAGAGAGAAAACGATAGTGTAAGTATATGTGTTTGTGTGTGTGTGAGAGATAGATAGATAGATGTATAGATAGATAGATAGATAAATAGATAGATAGATAGCGAAAGAATCATAAAGAAGAAACAGAGACACTACATATTTCATATTGGATCTTCATCTTTACCCCATCCCTCCCTCACCCTCTTGAGCCGGCTAAAGTGTGCAAGCGTGCAATCAGGGGCAATCTCAGCAACAAACAAGAGCTGTGTCACACAGTCGAGTGTGCTGTTGCAAGGTTTCAACGACGGCAATGACTCGTCGCGCCAACCTAACCCTCGGGAGCATTGCCAAATTTGTCCTAAAACGAGACCTCAAACGCAAACGAAAGTGCTTTTGAACGCGAGGAATGTTATTACTTTATGAATGATAATGTTTATAAAACATATGACCGTTGCATAAATCATATTAGCAAACTATCTTATGATGACAACGCTTTTGTTAATTAGAATCATACTCATTGACACAGATTTCATCACTCCCTAAAGCCTTCGTGTCGGAAAAAAAATCACTTTCGATTTAACAAGTCATTAAAGAGTGATCCAGTCGCGCATTAAACGTAAGTGACAAAAAATAAAATACATTGTTTTTCTTATTTATACATTCATATTTTACCATAAGCCTAAACACGGTCTGAACTCAGAAATCCCTATAACGCGTAAGCAAACCTATTTGTGCATGACTTTCAAACTACTGAAAAAAAGACACAATAGTTGCGGTTTCAGTTCACTACTTTTGTGGTTGAATGAATACTTTCTTCTCTCTTTGACCATAACCAAAGCGGCATAGTTAGAGAGCAACAATGGACAGCCCCGGGAGATCATTAGTGCCCGAATCGCCTCCGAATGACTGCACTCGAGCTGCCTTCGCTGCGACGCGTGAATCGCATATTTCTCAGTGCTTCCAACACGTGTTATTTAC